ATTTCTTTTAACAATATTTTTACCACTTCTCTTGCTATGTTGGTGCGACAAGGAAAGGCTTCTGGCCATCCAGAAAATGTATCAATAGATACCTGAATCCATTCTGTCTGGGCAGCTGAAAGTTAATGGCCCAAATCCTTGTCATTGCGTCAAGGGAGAGGTGGATGTTGTTCAGCAGCATTCTTCAGAGATACCGCTGAAGCAGGCTCTATGTGTGTCGCTCCCCATGTCTTGAGATGCTAAAGCAAGATAGGCTTTTATCCCAAGGTGTCTCTTTTTGCCTTTGAGCAGCTCCTGATCTTGGCCCACAGATTCTTCTTCATTATATTTTTTTCCCATTCCCGTTGAAACATTGACTCCCAGTACGCGTTAAGGCTTTTTCCAGGGCAGCAGTTAGGACATCAACGTGCAGAGGTACGAAGCTTTAGACAGACCTGTCGGTTTCCCCGATCCACAGATGTTCTACACATCCACAAATAGCTCAGCAGCATGTCAACGAGTGCAGGGGACCAGCAGCAGTGCTGTCCTGGGTCTGCACCATTTGCCTCTGTGATGGGACACAAAGCCCCAGCACTGCCACAAGGCAGCAGCAGTGGCAGCATGGCTGGGTACACCAAAACCCAGTGCCAGGACACCGGGCATCGCTGGGAGAGGAACCAGGGACAGTGGCTGCAGGTGCTCACAAGCAAGGGAGAAGCCCAGGACCTGTCCCTGAGTCTGGTGGAGTGGGGTGGGACGTGTTCCCCTGACACCTCTCAGCTAACTGTCAGGAACTAGCTGTCATTTGGGGATGATGTAGATAGATCTCACTCACCCACAGGTGATAAACCAAGTCATAAATTTGCAACCTACACACACTGCAGATGATTTTAGGCTCGAGACCATAGCATCTACACCCCTATGTGTCTGCGCCTGCTTTTCTTTTGCAAGTTCTAACATAACTTGCGGGGTTACTATTACCCGCTTTTCTGGCGTTACCCACCACCCTTCTGTATTTTGTGATGCCTTTAATTGTTCCGCCAATTGCTCATCCAATTTACTATATTTTGGTTTCAGATTCGGGATTTTTATCGGTTTTACTGGTACTAGTGCAAGGATACCTTGTTCAGCAGCCTCCTTTGCTGTTTTGTCTGCCAATCGATTACCTATGTTTACAGCTGTCTGACCAAATTGATGAGCCTTGCAATGCATCACCGCCACTTCCTTTGGCTTCTGCACCTCTTCGAGGAGCTGAAGGATTTCTTCTTTATGTTTTATCGATGTTCCTTGGGCTGAGAGCAATCCTCTTTCTTTCCAGATGGCTCCATGAGCATGAATCACGTCAAATGCATATTTAGAATCAGTCCATATATTTACCCTCTTTCCTTCTGCCATTCGCAAGGCTTGCTTCAACACCACCAGTTCTGCTTTCTGTGCCGAGGTATTTGCAGGTAGCGTTCCTGACTCCAGTACCTCGGTGGTGGTGACAACAGCATATCCGGCCGTTCGTCTTCCTTCTTTCACAAAGCTGCTTCCATCCGTGAACAACTCCAAATCAGGATTTTCCAGAGGATCATCCCTCAGGTCCTGTCTGCTGGAATAGACTTCTTCAACAGTTAGCAGGCAGTCATGTTCTAGATTTTCTGTTGGATTTTCCGTCGACAGAAACATCGCTGGATTTACGATGGTTGTGGTTTTCAATTCCACATCGTCCTGCTCCAGCAAGACAACCTGATATTTCAGCATTCTGCTGGGGGATAGCCAATGACCCCCCTTTTGTTCTAAAACAGTTACCAACATGTGTGGTACATACACCACCATCTTTTGGCCCATAGTCAACTTTCGAGTTTCCTGAATCAGCACTACCGTTGCTGCCACAGCGCGCAAACATCCCGGCCATCCTTTACTCACGTTGTCAAGTTGTTTAGAGAAGTATCCTACTGTCCGCTTCCAGGATCCCAGAAGTTGTGCCAGCACTCCAAGGGCCAGATGTTGCCTCTCATGGACAAACAGTTCAAAAGGTTTGTTAAATCGGGTAAACCCAAAGCAGGGGCCATCATCAATGCCTTTTTAAGTTCCTTAAATGATTTTTGGCATTCTGGTGTTCATGTCAGATACAAGTCTTTTGTCCTGTTGCAGGGCTCTCTCATTCGAAAGAAAATATACTTTGACTTTGTATATCCAGAGGTATGCAAAAGAAGCCATCCTTTAAATCTAGTGCAGTAAACTACTTCTGTTCCTCTTTCAGAGATGTCAGTAAAGTATAGGGATTGGCTACTACTGGGTGTATATCTTGAACTATCTGACTTATAGCTCTTAAATCCTGGACTAGCTGATAATTTTTCCTCCAGATTTCTTTACCGGTAATATAGGAGTGTTATATTCTGATTCGCATTCTATCAAAAGTTCATATTCCAAAAATTTCATGATTAACCCCTCCAGTCCTTTTCGGGCCTCCCATTTAACAGGATATTGTTTTTGTCTTACCGGTTTGGATTCGGGTTTCAAGGTCACTTTTACCGGCTCTGTCAATTTGGACTGTCCCGGATCTTCATTTGCCCAAACGAAGGGGATTACTGCGTTTTCCACCTCTCCTGGAATTTGCTCCTCCTTAAAAGAATCCTGTAACATGAACACTTTCGCCTCTATGGCTTTTGATTCAGGTATCAATAATTCAATTTCCCCATTTTTATAAATCTCGTCCTAACAAAGGCAACGGATATTCAGGCATATATAGAAGCTGGTGAGTTACCCACTGTTTTCTTAATCTAAATTTCAACAGCTTTAAGAAAGGTTAATTTTCTTTTTGCCCTGTCACACCAACAACATCTACTGATTTACGACTACATTTCACTTTACATGCATTCAATACCGAATAAGTGGTCCCTGTATTTACTAAAAATTCTATTTCCTCGTTCCCTAGCTTTAATGTAACCAGGGGTTCAGCTAGGGTTGACTCCCCTGGTCCTCTTCATGATTCCTCATCTAAAGTCATCAATTTAATCGCGCGAAGAGTCGGATCTAATTCCCCGGCCTTAGGACATTCCCTTTTCCAGTGCCCACATTCCTTACAAATAGCACATTGGTCCTGTGCTAGTCGAAGATTTATCCTTCCCCTTTCTCCAACATTCACTCCTCTCCCTCTTCCCCTACCTCTCCTATTATTCCCAGTCAGAGCTGCCAATAACTTCCCATCCCTCCGGGCCTGTTTTATTTCTTTTTCTTTTTCTCTATTATTATATACAGTCCAAGCTACTTCAAGCATCTTGCCCAAATCTCTAGACTCAGGGCCTTCTAATTTCTGGAGCTTTTTTCTAATGTCAGGGGCTGATTGACCCATAAATATGGAGGCCAATTGCGATGCTTCCTCTGGTTTTTCTGGGTCCAGATTAGTATATTTTTGGGCAGTTTCCTTCAGTCTCTCCATGAAGGCTGAAGGGGATTCATTTAATTCCTGCCTTACTTCATAAATTTTTGACCAATTTATCGCCTTCGGCATCGCATGTTTAACACTAAACAAAATCCACCTCTGTTATCTGGTCAACATTCCCCTGGGTCCCGGCTGATTCGGGTCCCAGTCAGGATCTGAAGAGGGAAAGTTCTGATCTACCGTTCCCTGCAAATCTCCACGAGCGTTAACTCCCTCTACCTGTTTCTTAGCAGTATTCAATACCATCCTTTCTCTGTGCCATCAAGCAAAGTATCTAAAATCACCTGCAAATCATTCCAATCAGGATCCTGGGTCCTAATTATTGTCTCAAAGACCTTTGCTACTCTCTCAGGGTCTTCTCGATACGTGCCTGCTACCTCTTTCCACGACCTTAAATCAGTTATTGAAAACGGAACCTTTACTGTCACCGAACCAGTATTTCCTACTGCCTCTCGGAGGGGAGCCTGGAGGAGAGCTGGCTCCGCTACCCACCCTGTCCTTCCCCGTGTTCTTCCCAAAATCAGGCTAAATCCTCCCACACCCTCCCCCAGAGGGGAGGTGGAAGGGCTACCGATCTCGGATTACTCTTCCTGATTATCCCCCCATCTCCGACGCGGTGCCACCATTAGCTTGGCATCATCTTCCTCAGACTCAAATTTCAAACACTTTCCCGACGCTACAAGAGGCGCAGCATTTCTTTGAACTTTTTTCACATTTTCCCTTTCCCAATGCCGCTACCATAGAACTATGCGGATGTATCCCGCACTGCCTTTGCCATTCTGGACGATTTCTCAACGAGAAAAACAAATCTGCATATGTCATTCCTTCCCATTTACCTTCCCTTTTACAAAACAACATCAGTTGCAAAATGGTATTATAACACAGTGTCCCATCCTTCAGCCACTTCTCCCCGTCATCCAGAGTATATAACGGCCACCAATGATTACAATACTCAATTAACTGTTTCTGAGTTAAAGGGTCCCCCCCCAGCTCTTTCCAGTGTTTTAAAATACATCCCAAATGCGTGCCCCTTGGGATGGATCTTTTACTCGGAAAGGTGCCCATCCTTCAAATGACCAGTGGTAGTGATTGTGCACTATATCACAGACACTAATCAGAGGGACCCCAACCCTTGTTGGAGCTCCCTTTGGGATCCCAGCCCCCTGCTGAGATCTTGGAGACTTCACCCCCTGTTGAAGACCTCCCCCTTGGGCCCTGCTCCACTGGCTTTCACCGAGCAGAGACTTTCCACAAAGGTACCTTTTAGCCCAACTCTACAAGGTTTTCACCGCGATTTACGAGCAGGCGTATATTATACCTAAAGAATGACTTAATTAAATTCCAGGGGACTTACTCGGAATCCTTTGGTCCGGGGATCAGAGGTTCTCCTCGAGAATCCCTCGATGCCGGCTGCAGGTCCCGTGATCCCGCGGATCCGTCGGTTTTCACAAGCAGGGTCCCATCTGGGGTGCCAGAAACTGTCACCGAAAATCCGGGAAGAAAACGTCGTAACACCAATGTAGTGTTAAAAGGCAGCATTCTTTATTGCAGCGCTGGATGCACGGGGGATAATTCCACCAAGCGTGCATACCCCATACCCTTTTCGTGCAGTTTATATAGATCAAAATATACATATTCATCTGATTACATAAGCCCTTTCTTTCATAGTCAAATCAGTTCATTTTCATACACTCCTCCCACCCGCGCTTGCGCAGTGCCTCCTAGTGGTGGTCGTCGGGGGTCCCAAGATGAAGGCTTATCCTCTTCATCACAGTTTCTGCGCAAACTCAGTCCTCTTCTGGCTCTTGTCCCTGCGGCACAGGTCATCTCGACCAGTTCTAGGCACCTGCTAGTTTTAATTAAAACTAACTTCTTTGGGGGGAGATGTATGACTTTTTGCTTCAGTTAATTCACACAATAGATAGGTACCACAAATACACCTGCAACTATTTGGTAACGCTATTTCTATTAAAAATCCCCCTTCATCATTATTGTTTAACATTAATGATTACCTAGGGACTAAAGCCTCTGTTCCCAGACCTAATGTCCAGATGGGCAGGGCTGTACAAGGGAGATAGCAGCATTGTTCGTGCTTTATGATTAACTAATTCCATCATCTTGGTTACAGTGTCAGCTTCCTCAAAGTAAAGTATGACTAATTTACAAATAGTGTATTTAGGGAAAAATACTCCTAAAACAGAACTGTAACTTAACTGTAACTTTACAATCTGCATTACAGGGCTTGGCATAATTACTTCCTCAGTGTCAGAAACAAGTTTCCTCCCCAGCTCCCGGGAGAGTTTCCCATTTCCCTTAGAATCCAATACACAAATTCTCACTTTCTCAAAGCAAATCTGCACTTTACTTAGAAAAAATGTATAATGCCCATGGAGACCATTGTCCTGCAAGCTTTGGTATGAGTTCAAGAGAGAAAGAGTTTGTACTAAGATTTTGATGTTATAAACTGCAATTTCTCTATTCAGAAGTACCACCCTTCCACCTTTACTCAAGAGAGCTGCTGCCTTCCTGTTTCTTTTCTTCTCAGCCTTCTGAAGCCAAATCAATGGTAATAGTGTTTTCAGATACTTTGTTTATAATTACCAAAATTTTGGGGTTTTTTTTATTTGGAAAAAAATGGTTTTTATCGTTCAAAAAAAGGGTGACAGAATAGGACCCTTCCATCAACAACATTTATATAGTTAGGTTCCTAAACTATGTCCTGGGTTTGACTGGAATGGCATAAACTTCCTTCATGCCAACCCAAATGGTGCTGTGTTTTGGATTTGTGGCTGAAACATTTTTGGTAACACACAAATGCTAGCTCCTGTTGAGCAGCGATTGAACAGCATCAAGCCTTTCTCTTTTTCTCCCTTCTCCCCAGCAAGCAGATTGGGAGTGGGCAAGAAGCTGAGAGGGTATGAAGACAACACAGCTGACCTGAATTGGCTGAAGAGGTATTCCACACCATATAACATCATACTCAGCAATTAAAAAAAAGTGGAGCAGAGGTTGTTTTCCAAAATGGCCACTGCTCAGAGACTGGCTGGGCATTGGTCTGCTTGTGAGGGAGGGTGAGGGATCGTCTTTGTGTCAGTTGGGTTTTTTCCTCTTTCATTCTTTTAAAAACTCTCCTTACCTTGATCCATAAGTTTTCTTGCTTTTGCCCTTTCTGTTCTGTCCCCCATTCTGCTCCTGGGAGGAGTGAGTGAACAGCTGTGGGGGGGTGCTTACCTGCTGTCTGGGGTCAACCCACCACAGACTGCAAGCATTTGCTTGGAAAATACAGTTCCTTAGCTGACTGTACTGAGAATGATAACAAAAATATAACATAACTAGAAGATACATGCACCACAACCTTATCATTTATTATGAGTAAAAATATTTTTACTCTTTGCTACAATAATACTGATTTTTCTACTCCTAATGATATACCTATCTGTAGTAATCATGCTATTATAAGAAGGTCCTTCAAGAATTTCAGATAAGGCTGCCATTGTCATTCTGCTTTATAGCTTTGTAATTAAGTTCTCAGCAAGAAGTTTTCATAGCACTCGTGCAGTGTAATGCTGGCAACTCACAGTTTACATGCAAAATGTTATTTTCTATCACCACGCTATTCAGCAGTCTACCTGTTTGGGCTCAATCTCCAAATAATGAAGTTGTAGAGTTTATGTGAAGTCATTTTTATTACCCAAAGTTCCTTCATTATCATATATTGAAGCACCTAAGAAAGAAATATAGGAAGCAAAGTGCCTGTCTTTCTGCTACTGTAGCAGTGAAAAAAAAAAAAAGATCAGATGCCAAAAATAAGACAATGCCTCAGGATTTTGTTCATGATGGAAAAAGCAAACAGTTTTGTCACAATCATTTCCATTCTGCTTTGTAAGACCTCACTGTCAATCTGTATACAGGCATTCATAATTTAGAGCAGATCCCAAAGGAGCTTGCATTCTGTGACAGAGCATTACTAATGCTATACAACCCAGGTGAAACTTGGCAAGACAAACATGTTTCATCTGACAGTCACTAGTCTAGTGAAGGGCATTTCTCCTGCTCACGAATCACATACCAAATTTAAACACAAAAGTTTGAGTTCAACAAATTTTCAGCTTATAGCAAAAAAACCTAATTCGTTCTGTGGATTATTCTAGACTTCATGTACTACGCTATCCAAGGGTCATTTTGATCCTCAGATATGTTA